AGCAAAACAAGCCAATAGCAAAGTGCATGAACACATACACACACACCTGTATACATATGTAACTAGACACGTAGACAAGCAACTTCATGAATTAATCAAATAGAAACTCAACAATCGAATACACAGCATAGGCACATAATTACACAGAGCAAGCAAGGACACAAACAAACAACCCAGCAAGCAAGCAAGCAAGCACGCACGCACGCACGCAAGCAAGCACGCAAAGAAAGAAAGAACAGAAAGGAAACAAGAAAGGCAAAAAATAAAGAAAGAAAGAAAGAAAGAAATAAAGAAAGGAAGAAAGAAAGAAAGAAAGCAAGAAAGAAAGAAAGCAAGAAAGAAAGAAAGAAAGAAATAGAGAGAGAGAGATAATAAGTAAATAAATACATAAATAGATAAAGAAATAAGGAACGAGATAAATAAATAAAGAAAGACTGAAAGAAAGAAAGAAAGAAAGAAAGAAATAAAGAAAGAAAGAAACAAATGAAAAGGAAGACAATAAAGAAAGGACCAATAAGAATAAATAAGTAAAATAAAGAAAGACAAGCAAGAAAGAAACAATACAAATACATAAGTAAAAGAAAGAACTAGAGAAAGAAAGACACAACGACATGAACAAACATAAATAAACAAGGATCGACAGAAAGAACAGAAATAACAAAAAAAGAAAGAAAGAAGCAAAAATAAATACAAAGAACTACATACATAAATACATGAAGGTAAGAAAAGACAAGAAGAGAAAAGAACAGAAAAGATAAGAGAAAGACACGAAAGTAAAAGAAAGGAAGGAAAGGAAAGGAAAGCAAAGGAAAGAAAGCAAGGAAAGGAAATGAAAGCAAAGGCAAGAAAGGAATGAAAGGAAAAAAAGAAAAGAAAGGAAAGGAAGAAAAGAAAGGAAAGAAAGGAAAGAAAGGAAAGAAAGGAAAGAACGGAAAGAAAGGAAAGAAAGGAAGGAAAGGAAGAAAAGAAAGGAAAGAAAGGAAAGAAAGGAAAGAAAGGAAAGACAGGAAAGAAAGGCAAGAAAGGAAAGAAGGGAAAGAAGGGAAAGAAAGGAAAGAAAGGAAAGAAACGAAAGAAAGGAAAGCAAGGAAAGAAAGGAAAGAACGGAAGGAAAGACTGAAATAAGGAGATAAAGGAAACACTAAGAAAAAACAAGACTGAAAGAAAGCCAGAAAGAAGCACAGAACAAAAAGGAAGAAACGAAAGAAAGAAAGAAAGAAAGAAAGAAAGAAAGAAAGAAAGAAGGAAAGAAAGAAAGAAAGAAAGAAAGAAAGACAGAAAGAAAGAAAACATGAAAGACCTAAAGACATTCCAACAAACCAGCAAACAAACCAGCAAACAAGCAAATAAACAAAGAAACACATGCAAGGACAAACGAACAAATTAATGGTAGATAAAACAACACGCAAATGAATACGTCAACAATTAATAAAGAAGTCAGGTTTCCCCTTCAAACCAAGCTGAAAAAGGCATCCAACCAAAAGCAGCACACACACACACACATGCGCACACGCACACGCATACGCATACGCACAAATGTCGCTCGCCCGCCCGCCCGCGCGCGCAGGCAGGCACGCATGGGGGCACGCGCGCAAACAAGCGCACAAACGCGCACACACACAGACACGAAACCCACACGCACACACACATTTTTCGGTCGGCATCACCTCAGGCCTCGCTGTTGCGGGAGGCCGGCGCGCCGGAGAGCGACACAACGCCGCCGTTCTGCTTGTGAGCCGGGCGAGTTGTTCCGGAGCCGTCCGGGCAGAGCCTGCGTCAAGATCCCCTCTTTTCGGACCCGCTTTGACATGACATATGGCTGTGGGTCAGAAATAGGGTAACCCCAAAATGGGTTGCCCTGGTAAGAGGAAACATGGACAGAAATCTGCGGTCCCCTGGTGGTTTAATTTTGACCCACACCCATATATTTGCATATGGAACAAGAGATGCTGTCGTAAGTTTAAAAGGTTCACCAAATATGGACCAGAAGTAAACAACTCCTCACTGATAGTTTTGGGCAACAGTTGGTTACGGCTGGTGTTCAGTGTGTCCATTCAGAAGTCCTCCACGCCATGAATTGGTTTTGCTTGGAGAGTTGACCGCTCGGCTTCCGTTTGTGCACCAGAAAAAGGACCCCTGCTTCCAGCGAAAAACTCCCAACCCACTCTTTGCACTTTAAAGTTGGGTGCGGGGCTGTCTCATTTATTTCAGGTTTGGAAGGCGTTTGACAACTCATCTTTTGGCGGACTTGCATTGACTCTGACTCGGAGGAAATTCACACCTGACGGGAAGTTCCATTGGTCCCCCAAAACCGTCTTCTTCGCCTAGTGAGGACGTCTTGGACCACGTTTGCCCGAGGTTCATCGGCAGCGCTTCTTAGTTGGAACTGCAGGACGCCCGGAAATCTCCGGCCCTCGCCCAGTTCCGAGAAAGCCACCTTCGGACTTTTTTTTCTTAAATCTGCACAGGGCAGAGGCCAAGAACATCTGTTTCCGTGTGACTGCTTGTGTTGTTTGGCAAAGCAACTTGCGTAGCCAAATGCTGGTTGTGACGTAGATGTGATTGTTCACGTCAATTTAAACCCGCGCGCTGTTCCAACTGACCAGTAGGAGTGGCTGGGTGGTTTGGATTGCTTGGACCTGACAGAAATGCAGATATCACAATCTCGTGCAGCCCCTGCCGCTTTCGTTGCTCTTTGTTGCACTATATCCAGTGGTCAAAGCAGAATCCAAACCGCCCACTTCGCCCCCTGCTCTGCCATCGCAAGCCTGTGCGTAGCGCAGGTCGAGGACCGCAATTATCCGACTGCCCTTGGGGCCAACGCGCGCCCTCTGGGAAAGGAACGGCTCGGGGAACTGTGTTTTTTTGTTCTTTTTCTTTCTCTTTTGGGTTGGGAGAGGTGCGCTTCATTTTGATCTTGGGTTCTCATCCCGGGCGTTGCTGGTTTGCCGGGGGGTGCGTATGACAGCAGGGCGATGAGCTAACGCGCCTGCTGGGGGCAGGAGGCCAAAAGGCCAACCCCCACCGTGTATTTGGGGGGGAGTAGCCAGTGCTCTCTGCTGGAGAAAGCGGACTGACTGACAGAGGGGGCCTCTGGAGGGGTTTGCTTCCGATTAATCGGAAAGGATTCAGAAGCCTCTGGTTGATTTTGATCAGGGGTGTCCTGTTTGGTGAGAAACAGCACCCCCGAATGGCTGAGCTCAGCCGCCATTCGGAAGCTTCTGCATTCCTTCCTGGAGCAACCCTGCGTATTTGGTTGAGGTCCACTCTGGTTTTTTGTGGACGGGGCAGGGCGTTCAGATTTTGAACGTTATGGCGACGAAATTTTATCTCGGCCTAGAGTGGCCGAATCCCACGGGGAATCCGTGCGTCATGTTCATCGAGCTCTTATGAGACTGCATGGCGCCGGCCTCGGTATGGGTTTGGCCCATGGTTGGTGTCCTTGTGCCTTTTTCCTTCAACAGGGCTCCTTAAAAGATACATTTTGCCCCTTTGAAGCATGGCTTTTTCCACCAAAACAAAGAGAAACTACCATTTACAAGGCATATAGATGGCTGCTCGTTCCCATCCCTCAGGGCCTACGCGCCGCAGAACCCATCGGTTCGCGGCGTATGACAGCGGGGCAATGCGCTAACGTGCCTGCTGGGGGATGGAGACAATCGGATTTCGCCCCCTACCGTACTTGTTTTTCTTTGCGGGGGGGAAGCCATTCCAGCGTTTCCTGGATGGAAGAGATGTGGAATAACAAATGCGGTTCTCTTGGTTCGACATTCGCATGGCAGGTTACGGGGTTGACAGCAGGAACAGCATTAGATCACGTTGGTTTGCAGGGTAGATTCTGAATGCATGGGATGGGATGTGAGAGTTGCCGCTCTCTTTTGGCCCAGCTATGATGCACATGAGACCTAAGTCCAGATCTCAAGCTATCACCGGACCTCTATTGTGGCCATGAAGATATGAAGATATGAAGATCTTGACACCTTTGTCCGCAACTTGCGCAACTTGCCCCATGTGAAGGTGGCTTTCTCGAGGCGGAGCGTGGCTTTCCGACGCATCGAGCCCGAGAGTCTCCCGAGGCACAGTGTGGAGTCCCTCTAAATCCCTTCGTGCTTGAGTTGGCAGCCCCACAGGTAGAAATGGCACTGCTTTTAGATGGGCTTTCCATGTACGGCCATCCATGTTTGCCAAAAATGCGCAGCCAATACGCACAGCCCGCTGATTCTTAAAGCACTTGCAGCTGAACTCAAAAGGCTTTGCTCCGACTTCAAGTCGAGAGTAGCGACCCGGTAATTCGCTTGCATTGCAACGTGCTTGCGTTCCTGGGCTTCAAACTTTTTGGGAAGACCATGTTAGTGGTAAGTAAGACGTTTGGCTCCTTTTTTGAAGGAATCCTTTCAGGAAGTGAGAACAGGATGGGTTAAAGTCAGCCGATTTGAGAAGTTGGATCCGGATGTCTACACTGCCAACCGAAAAGGCGGTGCGCGCTTTTGAAAAGGTGCGGATTGCTGCTGAAAAAGGGGCGGATTGAACTTGGCGAGTGTCCTTTCAGTCCTCAGGGAAGCCACCTGGGGCTCCGATTTGAAACAAAATGAGACGCCCACATTGTCACATGTCCCCCCGAGTTGAGAAACGCGCGGGTCGCAGGTCCAAGTTGCCAGGGCCCAAGTTGCCCATCCCCAAGGCTTTCCCTGAAGAACCTGAAGCCACGCCAACCCATGAACCCAACCCCCTTCACAAAACAACAGCCACAAGCACGGTCGTCTCCTCCTTGCTCCCCTGCAGATTAACATGCAGCACAGACAATCGATCTTTGTAGGGGAATCTTCAGAGAAAATCCTTGAAGAACTCCTCCTTGAGTTCCCCTTTATTTTCGGGGCCTGGGTTCCTGGGCAACGAATACAATTCCATCAGAGTTTCGGTTGGTGGCAACTCCGATGAACTTCTGGTATGGGTTTGCGCCACCGAATCCTTCGCTCGCTTGCCTGAACCGGTTCGCTGAGGTCTGGTGTGGCGAGCCACTGAGGTCAGTGGCCGCCATTTGGAGCTTCAGCGTTGGAGTGGCCAGGCTTGTCCAAGAGGATTCGTCAACCCTGGTAATCTTCGCGGGAGTTCGCGAACTCCAAATGGATTCGTGTTTCTTTTTCAGTTTTTTTTTTGTTGGGGGGGTCACTGAATTCCAAGTGGATGAGCCTTGTTCTTTTTGCTTTGTTTTCTCTTTTTTTTGGCGGGGGGACTTTTAGAGGGCATTTCGAAGAGAATCAGCGTTATGAAACACCCAGACGGTCCAAACGGATTGTCCCTGTCCAAAGCCTTCCGGCCAGCATCTACGATTGCGTGACGGAAGAGGATGTTTCAGAGAATGGCGCGGTTTTGGCGCCAGCGGTTCCTTCATGTCTTGTTTGACTTCCAAAAGCGGCGGGTAAATTGATAAACCCCTCTCTAAATTTACGGGGGAGAGTAGCAAGTGACGCCCCCAAGAGAAAGTTCCTTCGCTGGTAGAAGCAAAGCCCCCTCGAGAGGCCGCGGCGCTCGGGCCCCGGCCACGACCTTTCACCAAGCCTCAAAACGAAATACTCCCAACAGATCGCAACTGGAGGGCTCCAGCTTGGGGCTGGGTGCTCTCCATGCCTCTCTGTTGGGTCCCAGGCACCTGGGTCCCAGACCCTTTCGACCCTTGCACTCTTTGCTCGGGACAGGGACCCGTTGCCAGCTTCGCCCACCTTTATCCAGTTCTATCAGGATACCTGGAAGATCAATCTCCTCTTGAGACACAAAGCAAATCTGTCAGGTGGAGGGGGGGGGGGGTAAAGGGAGGGTGTTGCAAAGGAAACACTAAGTGTCCACAGTAGTGGGACCCGCCACGTTTTCCTGGGGTCCGCGCGAGGATTGGCTTGGTTCCGGTGGCGGCGGGGACGTGAGGCGCGCGCGAGCGAGCCCGCCTGAGACGACCTGCCGGTGTTCAGAAGCCATCCCTTGCTCATCCCTTTTTGGGGGTCCCATGCGATTTTTTTGAAAAGCAACGAGAGAACCAAATCGGCTCCCCCCCGCTATTTGTCCGACTTCGATCAGAGCCCTGAGAAGGTCCTTTCGAACTTTGAAGGGTGGCCTTGGTGTTTATCTTCACTGCTGGCAAGTTGTTTTCTTTTTTTGTTTTCTTGGTTCTGCTCGTTTTTAGGGGCTGCAAGAAACAAGTTTGCTAGGGGTGCAAAGTTCTTGTCCTGGTCCTTGATACAGCCGCTTGCTGTATGTGGCCAATCCGCTACCGCCAAACAGGACACCGCGCTCGACCGACCGAGTGACGAAGGTGCCGCTGCAAAGAGTGAATTCTCTTTGCCTACATCCACTTTGGCATGGGTCAAGGTTTCGCCAGCAGGGGATCGCAGGTGTTCGTCCGTGCTTGTTACCAGGGCAGCCATTTTGGGGTTACCCTATTTTGACAACCACAGCCACTTCGGCATCGCAGAAAGGCTTCTTCACGATCATGAACCCAAGAAACCAAGCAAAAGGCAACCTCTAAGATATTCTTTCTAAGACCTTGTTTCTTGTAGCAGAAGGTGACCCTGTAGCAAACCCATGAGCCCTTGTTTCTTAAGACCAGCCCGGGGCAAACCCCACGAAACCGGGCGAGGCAGCGACGGAGAACCAGTGCCCAACTGCTCCTCCGCTGGGGCACTCAATCGGGGGATGGGGGCGGTTTACGCCGGGGTTCCCGAAGACTCCGGTTGTAGAAGCTCCGAATCTGGGAAATGGCGCCCCCTTTTGGGTGCCTTCCGCTAATTTGTGGAGTGTGTGCTGTCTGTTTTTTTTTTTGGGGGGGGGGTTGCCTTTGAACCAAACATTTTGGAGGACAGTTTGTTGATGTCATGTTCGCACTGGACCTGTTTCCGGCTGGTTTGCATTTTGTAGAGCCCCAAACAAGAAAGCCTCAAATGAACACGCAGCCCTGTTTTTTTCTGGAATGGGGGCTGTGCAGCATTTTTGAAAATGATGGCTTTAGGCTGCCACTTTCGGTACGTGGCTTCTAGTTGAGTCTAGACATGGCTAACGGCAAGGCTTGCCTGTTTTCCACAGGGTGTTCAATCGCATCATTGCGCATTGCTTGGACCGAAACTTTACCCACTTCGCCATAGAATTCTAGCTGGGGGGGTGTTCTGCTTGGATGACTCATCTGCAGAGGGGCCCGGTGGTCTTCTTGCAGTTCCTTGAGGCCAACCCATGTCGGTTTGAATGACCGTGAGGGGTCAATTCCTTGCAGTGCGTACCCTGTATTTGGGTGAAAGGACGGCAGCATCCTTGGGACAGGAAGTGTCAGAATGTGATCCCCGCGTACCGAAGCCGACCGGGTCACTTTTGAGTCTCGTCCTTGGGCGTTTGCTTGGCCCGGACCACTCCGTATTGAGTGTGATTATGTTCTTGGGGCCCGGTCCTCCATTTGAGGCGGCAACTCCGCTCAGTTTGAGTCCGACAATGCACTCAACGTGAAGCTCACTTGGTGGATCAACATGGACCTGGGGCCTGATGTCAAAGAAATCATGGGCTGTTTTGAGGACATGGCCCTCTATCCCGCGAAGGGTGCTGTGTCATCGCCTTTTGCTGGCAATTGTCGAATTCTGCAAAGCCCAGAGCGCAACAAGAATGCTGAGACGATGTTCCAAAAACAAGAGAACTCTCAGAATGCATTTCTGGCAGTTGCCAGCGCGTCTCTTTTTTCTTGCCGCCTAGCTTTTTGGCATGGATCACATGAGCGGAGGAAGGGCCAAGCGATGAGCCAGGAGGTTTCCAAGCAGCTTGGCTTGGACATACTGTGGTTGCGAAATCCAGAAAACCCCTCCCAGGAAACCTCCCGAAACTGGCCCTTGACCTGTTGGACCGGTCCTGGGACCGTGCCGTCAAATCGCTGGAGCCGACACGGGCGGATCTTGGGCGGCATTAACGGAAAAGTCAGAAACATGAAACCTCGTCCGTTAATTTCTGTCCTCCCGAAACTGGGCCTCATGCTCCGTTAATCGCGGTTTGGGACGGCGCGCGCCCCATTCACATCAAGTTGCATCCGACCAGTCTGGAGCTGGCTGGTCCTAGGACTGGTCCTGGGACTGATTGACCAGTCCTAGGACCGGTCCTGGACGAACAGCCCATCCAAAGCGTCAGGGTCCAGGACCGGTCCCAGGACCACCCTGAGGTTCCCCAGGTAATCCCTTCATTCTAGTTGCATCCCACGCTGGTCCCCTCTGCAGGGGGCTAGGACGGGAGGCAGAAAGGCGGCGGATTTACAGGGGATTCGAATCAGAAGCCAGGGTTTCCGAACAATGGTGTTGGTGGTTGCAGTGTTACGTGGTGGACCATGGGCCCAATTTTGTTGCAGAGACCTCAGGAGAGGAATTGCCATGGCACACATGCTGAAATGACTCCCAAACAGTTGGCCCCCAAAGATGTGTTTCGGGATGTCTCGTTGGTACCCGGTAAAGCAGGAACTCAAATCCCTGAAATGATTTCCCCCTTCTCAATTTCCGCCTCAAATGGCGCCTGGGAAACATGTCAAATCTGCTCTCTCAATTAAATTTGGGAGGTTGAAACCGCCGGCGGAAGCTGCCTTGGGTGGTTCCCTCACGCCCATGCGGGTGCGGCCTAGGGCCCATGGTGCAGAGCGGACCCTGGGACCAGGCGAAACCGTTTCGCGGAGTGGACTAGTTGTTTGGTTTAAGCAAAAAAATCGTTGAGCCCACAAACAGGCAACCAAGGGGAACAGAGGATCTTGGGTTTCTATTTGCTTGAAGTTGTCCAGCTGAGCTTGGTTTGGGTAGGGTTCGTCCCCTTGGGTGATCGTCAAGCAAAGGGCTCGCTTGATGGAAAGCCCGGGGGGACATTCAGGCGGCGCCACACCACTTTTCCTTTGCAGGCGTCTTCTAAAGTGTTGACGTTTTCCTGAACAAAGTATGGTCGTTTCGCATTCCCGAAAATCGAAAATGGTCGTTTCTCCCTTGCTACTCATTGACTCATAGCCAAAAAACGCGGATCCATTTCGAGAAACTCCTTTGCGCTCCGCTCCAGTCTCCGCTCCAGGCGCTGCGGCGCCGGGTGCTGGCGCCTGCCCTGGTGCAGCTGTTAGCGCTGCAAGGAGTCGATGTCTTCAGTCGAACATTCCCCGTTTTGAAGGTAGTTGAGCCAGTTTCTCCGTCGTGGAAAATGAAATTCTCGCGATGGTTTGTCAGTGCGCCTTTTTACAACCCAACCCCCTGGTGGGAAGCAAGGGATTTGATCCAATCGAATTGATACCATATTGGTATCACAAGGGTTACTTTCCACCAGTGGGAAGCAATGGTAAAGAACGTCTTTGGGAGGGGGGGGTGCCAAAGTGTTTTTTCCCCTCAAAGTGTCTAATGATTGAGAGAGAACCACGGTGTTTCTGGCCTGTGGTGTTTACAAATTGGGGGGGGGAGCAGGGTTTGCGGGAATGATCCCTATAAACCGTCCCATCCGTTCAGATTTCCATTCAGGGAATCCGTAGGTTCATTCCCAAAACCCCGCGTCATTCCCAACTGAGCGTTCGCAAGTGAGGTCACTGTCAACTGATTAACTTGCCTTTTGCAGGGTTGCACGCACCGGTTGAAAGCAAATTGAGTATTATTTTTTGGGTTTCCCAGTGCCAATTCTCATGGGGGGTGCTCAAGGTGAACCCCTTGATGGTTTTACAGTTGGGCCAAAAAGAGATTAGCCATCTTCGGGGTTCTGCATCTTGAGAACCCCCTATCTGTCTTTTTTTCTTTTTTCTAGGAATCGTAAACTTCCGCAAAATGGCAGCTGTCAGTTTTCTGTGTCCTTTCGACACCAAAAGACAGTCCAAATAGGTCTCCCAGTAGTGCCCTTCTCTCCCCTTTTTCGGGGGAGGGTTCCCCTACTAAAATAGACAAACATGAAAAACATCGGGTACCAGCTTATTCTAACCTCTCAAATCTGGAGGACCTAGCGCCAACCTGCAAAACAAAAAGGCACCGGCCCAGAGGTTTCCCCTCTGCTTGCTTCGCCTTCGATTTCCCAGGAACCGCCGCTGATGTCCCCCGCCTCCGCGAGCGCTCCGGGCGCCTGCGCAGCTGCGAGCTGGAAGCGAGGGCGCTTGAGACCTGGAGATGGGGTCGTTTTGACCCCACCCGACATGGGCTGAAGTCTCTCGCTTCTTTGGGTTGCATGGGCTGAATTCTCCATTTTTATGGGCAGTTTGTAGGGAGGTGCCTGAAAATAAGGCAATGCCGGCTTCGTCTGGACCGGTACTTTTTTTGTGCGGTTCCCCTTGTACTCGAGAAATGAGCTATCGGGTGTCATCCGAAAGTTAACGTGAGCCCTCGACCTCCAAACCACCACTCCAAACCACCAAGAGGGAAGCTGATGGAAAACGTGGGTGTTTTTATTTGGAGGGCATTTGTTTCAGGGGAAGTGAAGAGATTTCATCCATGGGGGTTACCTTCTTATACCAGTCTTCAGGATTGCTGTTCACCTCGAACGTTGGTATGGGGTCCACTTTTGTTGGTTGTGAGCGATTTTTTGTCGAGAATACCATCTCCCCCCCCCCCCCCCGTAACCTTCCTCCAAGCTTCGGTTGGGTGCTCCGAATTTTTTGATGTCCACAGGGTCCCCTATCCAACAAATCACGCCCATATGGAGCAGCCGGTATATTTGGATAGGTGGTTTGACCCGACTCATTGTGCCAAATGGGGAAGGTACCCTGAAACGGGTAAACAATTGGCAAGTTGCTGTGGATGGGGACAGCTGGTCTTGCATTAAGCAACTTGTGTTTTGCTTTGTCGAGCGTTGCCCTGAAAGCGGTGAAAAGAAACCATCTGGAGGAGTCCATTTTCTGAGGGGACTTTTTTTTTTTTTTTTTGCGTGGTTTTTAATGGAAGCCAAAGGCAAACCGGTTGGAGACAAACCAATTTTGCAGACTCATTTCGGTTTGGGAAAGGAGCAAGTTCACACACCCCGACAATTTGCGGGCAGAATCCGGGTGCCAAATCTTTCCCGGCGAGGGCACTTCAGACTTGGGCGCCAGTGCCCGGGAGCTGTGGCCTCCTTTGTCGCTCTGGGATAGGCCGGGGGAGAAGGTTTCGGGTTGTGAAGCGTTGACCTCTGAAATAGCTTCTTGAGATTCCGAGGGGACCGTTTCGAAGGGAGCCACAATCAAACCCGGGTAGATGAAGGTTAGTAAGGGACAATCCTCTTGCCATGAATAACTGCAGATATCCGCCTTCTTATTTCTTGAAGCATGGTTAATGGGTAGACCATTTCAATACCGGGTTTTGATTGTGACTCCCATGGAGATAATTGGGCTTTCAACCGCTTCGATGTTTTTTGGGGTGGGGGGACCGGAAATTGACATCGAAATGATCATGGCCCTGTGTGCTTTGAAAAGACCGGCGCCCTGCTTTGGGCTGAGGGAAGCGAAAGGGAACAGAGACCCATTGGCTCGTGAGCAATGGTCAAAAGACCAGATCCTTCACTTGTGAACAGGGATGGTCTATAATGATTCCTGATACCCATGATGATGATTCCTGTTAAGGCTGTGTGAGTTTTGAGGGCTATGCAATTCTGGTTTGCCTCCCGCTGCACCGCGAAGCAGCCCCCCCTTGAAGGATGACGTTCCGCCCCGTCTTTGGATCAACCCTGTTTGGGCGGTCATTTCCTTTAAGCCTACCACTTGGTAGTGGGGAGCCCTAATGATAGACATTAGATAAAAGTTCAGCCGCATTCACCCAAACACACTTTTCCCGGCTGGAAGCATGGAAGTATGGCGTTATCTCAAGTTTAGGTACAAATCCCTTTCACAAGTGATATTCAATATTCTTTAGTTGGCAAAGTAACGGCACAGTATTTGTTTTGTTTCCCCTGACTCGCGCCAGTAACTTTCGAGCGGCAGCTTCGCACGCAGCAATTGAGGGTGGGCCAAACAAAGTCCCGGGCTCAATGAGCCCTATCAGTATCAGAGCTCATCAATTTCAGAGGCCTCGGTTGGTGGGGGGGGGGGCTTGTGGTTTGTCCCCGACCCCCTGCTGCTGGACTGGAGGGCATTGCACCTCTCAGTCCTCAAGTTCCCCCAGCCCTCGGTCCATTTTTGGTTGTCACAGGATTTCCACCATGCGGCCGTGAACTTCCACCCTCCTCGTCCTCCTCCTCCTCCTCCTTCTTCTGCTCTTTTCCATGGCTTGCTGGCGTTCAGTAGGCCGAATCGGGATTCATTGAAACAAAACCTCGGGGTTGGTTTCTCTTGGGGTCATTTCCTCATTCCCTGCCTCTCAGCAAGATTGGGATAGAGCTAAGGGTAGTGGAAGTCCTAAGGAGCCGAACGGTCAGCGCCTTTTTCGCGCCCCAGGCAGCGCAAATTGCCGGAAGCCGTCGGCGGAAAACGCGGGTGGATTGGGGGGGTCTCAACTTCGAGTCACGGCCCTTGGAAGGTGGGGTTGCGACTCACGAGTCGAATATGTGCATATATGATATATATATATATAGATGTATATATTTTCACACATGGATATTTACATGGATATTTACATTGGATATGTTTGGCCCTGCCAATATTTTTGGGAGGCTCTCCGCACTTTGCCTCCGAAAGGTGATCGGATTGAAGCCGAGAGTTGCGCATGGAGGGTTTCGGGGCCTCATTCAGCGCTTCCCCGCGCAAGTTCTCCGGCCTTGGTGGTTGCGGTCGCCCTCTTTAGACTGAATTGGACACTATTTCCAGTTGATTCTTCTTGGGCCTGGGCTACGAAGCCCAGGTTTGGCTGCCAAAGCCTGCCTTACATGTTGGGAACTCTCGGAGATTTTCTCCAACCTGAAACGATCTGGAAGGGAGCCTTGCAAGGATCTTATCCTCCTGGGTCGTAGGGAGATCATATTTTGTGCACCTAGCGACAAAGCGGTCGCAGGACAAACTAAGGAATCTATGCGTTTCAAAGCAGAAGCGCCTCGAATTCGAGGATTTCCGATTGACTTTTGATCGGCCTGGTGGCTGACACCAACTGGCTGGATGAACATGGAATGCTGTCTGGGTGGATGTGTAGGGGGGGTGGGGGTTGGATGTAGTCTAAGAGAAAAAGACTGGCTAGGGCTCGTAACTTCAAGGTGCTACTAAGCTCCGAAAGATGATGAAATGACAAGGGTAAACTATTTGATAGGGGCCTAATTTTCAACAAACGGTAGTTTGGGGGGTCCTATTTGGGTTCTGGAGAATGGAATTCTTGGGTTTCCGGTATTTGAGGGATTGTTTGGAGAATCTATGGTGATTGCTCACGCTGCTGAAGCCATGGCTTTGTCCCCGAACCCACGCGCAACTTGACGCATGGGATTTGTGAGCGCAAGTGCAATCTGCTTTAGGGGCCTAAGTTTCTACCTTATGAAGATCGAATCTTTGGAACCCTAGCTAGTCAGGGGAAGAAATATGTGCCAGTTGCTTTGTCCATTTTGGCTCCAGTCGCCAAAAAAATCGGATCGCGCGTGCCGGCCGGCAGCTGCGCCTTTTGGCCATGCCCTTGGCAAGACAAGTGCTGGAGTGCCCTGGCTGGGAAGCTGGAAGCAGGGTGTCTTTCTACCTTTTTTTGGCGGGCTCACCACAAGTAGCACAAGCTCACCCTCAAAGGTCCTTTTCAGCTTGGGAATCAGAGTCCTTGCCTTTTCTCCGCTGGGGGCAGGAGCTGGAAGTTCTCGTAACGGTCTTTGAAAAGGGAGCCATGCGACTTGAGACTTTTTGGGAAGAGACCAAAAGTCCTTCCAGGTGCAAAGGTTCATCTTTCGGCGGCCTTGGGTCTTTTTGCCCGAGGTCGGGCCTCGACGTGCTGAAGCCCCAAGCCGGCGCCAAAGCGACGGCGACCGTCGCGACGGAGGAGGTCCTGCGAGCGAGCCTCGCGCAGCTCGCAGAGGTTGGCCGGGCCAAAGGCGAGTTTTTGGTCCACCACCAAGCCTCAAGGGAAACGGATGCAAACATGCATGAGAAATTGCAAGCAACAACCAGGGTTGCTTGAGCAGTCCCTAAATGTGGTTTCTAACTTTTTCCAGCCATTGCTCCGGGGCTTTTGGAGCAACCCTGGGCTTGAACCATATGGTTTTGGGAATTTTCAGGCACGCCGATTCGAAAGAAACATGAAAGCAGTTGGCCTCGGAACCCCGGAAGTAGGAAAGCCAAGTTGAACTTCAACTTGGATTCTTCCACAAGGAAGCCCTGGAGGTGTTTGTTGGTTGTGATCTGTTCAGTTCTCTGAGAAACCTATTCGGAGAGCCAAAAAGAAGGATGGCCTGCCGGTATTTTAGTCAGGGACCTCCATTTCAGCACCAGACCCCGAAACACCAAACCCCTTTAAGGGGGCAATTGCGGGGTGAACAAGTCTTGACTCTGGCGCATCGGATTGCTTTGGGATCATGTCTGCGGAAATCTCAGGTGCCCCCGTCACGCTGCTTGGTCCAGCTTCCTGGCAACACCCCAGCCGAGGCGATCGGATGGGGTGCCGTGTCTGCGATTCCAGGGCCTGCTGCTTTGATTGAAGGTCCATGAAAACAATTTCTCCAAGTCGTAGATACTCAGGGAGGGAGATGCCTGAAAGACTGGGCATCGAATTTCTCAAATGAGGTCACTCAACCCTCACACGTTTGTGGAGAATGGTCCCGGCTCAAGCAACTGCGTTCTTGCCCTTGTGTTCTTTTTTGGTGTCTTCCCTGGTCAGGGAGTTTTGAATGGTCCCATGTCAAACCCCCAAGAACTGTCGAACATCATCCCAGAAGATTGGATGCGAGTCGGTGGGCCCTCTTGAAACCGAGAATTTTACTTGGGCCGTCCATGGGATTCTTGGGATCTGCGGGCCGTTCTGTGGAATGCGTTGCAGGTTTTGCCTTCCCTCGTTTAGGACTACGAAGAGAATCCCCATGATAAAATGGTTGGAAAAGCCTCGGATCACTTGATCGTGAAGCTTGCGGCCCAAGCTGGAAAGGTATTTTTTGTAGTTGCAAGCCGAGTTTCAGAGACTATGCGATTCCTTGGCTAAGGACATCTAAAAAAGCCTGGAATGTACCCGGATGGTTGGAGGGTTTTGTTGATGACGGGCCGTGGATAATCTTGGTGGTAAGCATTGGCCATTGTATCGTTTCCTCGTGTCCCCTTTCGTGGTTCGTCGAAACTCTTGCTCAAAAGTTACGGGGGACCCCGCAATGGATACGGGTGCGTCTTTTTGTTTGGAGCCCCCCCCCTGCCCGAAATGGTGGGTGTTCCTTGGATTTCCTTTAAGCCCCATCAAACCTGGAGCACCCAAGACGTGCCCCCAAAGCCTTCCGGATGCGAATCGACGCGGTCAGGGTGAAGAGCTCCTTCTGAGGCGGAGCGGCTCCTTCCAATGACACCTAAGGAAGATGGCCAGTGGCCGAGTTGGATCTGTGTCTGTTTTTGAGTTACACCCCCCCCAATTTGTTGGTGGTACAGGGAAAAGGAAGCCAACATGCCATTTTGGGGCTGAAAGACACGGACGCCCATTCGGGGGTGCAGATTTGGCAGCTGGTTTCATCGTTTTACCCTCCCTCCCAGGTTGTCACAATAAAGTGGACTTCCAAGAGGAAAAGGATCTTCCAGGAAGCCTCCAGGTAGTGGGAGGAAGGGTAGAGCAATCTGAGTTGTTGAAAACCAATGGTACCATTTCCTGAAAATAGGGGATTTTGACCCACAGCCAATTGAGTTGTTTGGCAGTGGTTGATTTTACCCAAACACAGGCATTTGACGGCCAGTAGCTTGGGGCGGCCCGCCAAAGGAGCCAGCCGCTGAAAGCAGCGATTCGGGCGGGGAGTTCTGAGCAACGGGCGGGAATGGAGAAGAACATGGGAAAGCAAACGATGACTCTGTCCCGAGCTTACAGGATCTCATTTTTTTTGTGATTAGCCATATATTTCAGGTGACCACCGGCATGTTGCGATAGCAACTATCCGGTGCCACTTGGGCTCAAGATTGTGGATCCGTCGCGCCTCGGATCAGCGTCGCCGGGTCCCCGCGTCGATCACCTTCGTGTCGGTGGAGAAAGAGACATCGGCCCGGGGCAGATTGGTGGGGATCGCCCGTGCGGTTCATCGTCGGTCAAGGTTGCGGTATTTACTTTCTTGTTTTGTGTTTTCCCTTTTGGTTGTTGTTCTCTGGTGTGTGGGAAACCCTGATCTTTGGGACCGGGGATTGGTTTGCTTTGGGGGAACCTTTCTTTTGTGGCTTGTTTACCCCAACTTACCCATTGCCTGGGCACAGGCTCGTGCCCGAATCACAGGTTATCAGCCGTATGATCGGAACGCGCCCTAATCGGGACCACCACGCCCGCACCGCCACTGACCCAGCGCAGTCCGCGAGTTGCCGATTCCCCCCGTGGTAGGCGTCCCCGGCGGGAATTCAACCTCAGACCCGGCGCCACAAAGATGGTCAAGGACAACGCCTCTCCCATTACCACAGGTTTTCCTACGCGCTTGAGACCATCAACTACAAGCTCAATGACGTCAACCCCACGCTCTCATAGGAGTGTCGTGGATGAGGAGGCTATCCTAGGTGGTCTCCGATCACCTGAGCACTTGCCGGACTATAACTTCGAGGAATTTGAGGCAGGTTCAGCAGGTCAGGATCGCAGGAGTGATGATCCCGATAGGGACACACCCAGAAGCCGTGGCAGGTACACTGACGATGGAGACGATCGCATTTTCCGTCAGGCCACCGATGATGAGCAAGGACAAAGAGCTCGCCCCGATAGGGGCGGCTCCGAACCAGGTTTCAGGCATGCACATTTGGACTTCATCAGCATGGCGATGAACATGGCCCGCCCTCATTCGGACGACCCGGAGGCCATGCCCACCCGATCCCCAAGGTCTCTTGTTCCAGGTGAATCGCAGGCCTCGGATGAGCTCGGGGACAGGCCGCGAGGACCGGGAACCATGGTTTCGGCTCCGAGAGATATCTCGGGTCGATCCACTGGTTCTCAAAATCCAGTTCAGTTTGATGAGCACGTGGAGAGGACGTTTACAGGCATCGGATACGATGCTCTGTTAACATCAACCGCAGGCTGGGGCAGTAGCGTGAAGCAGGAGTCTGATGCCGATAGGCCTAGTTCTGTTTCGACCAAGTTTGAGTTCAATGATGATGAAGA